CTTCTGACCCCTTTTTCTTAGTCACTAATATTAAACATAGTGATGACGGCAATGTTCTCAAGCACTTTCACTTTTTTGTCTTCCTGTGACCCTGTATGATAAAGTGTATGCCCGATGTACTTTGCTAGAATGTCTCTGATAACGATAAAACGTTGGATGTTCGTTGGCTGACCCCTAAAGGATGTGGAACTGGAAATTGCTATACTTACATATGTTGTTTAAAGGAAGTGGTTTAAATTTTGAATGAACTGAATTAGTGATTAACAAACTGCTTACACCTCACTTCTTAACTGTCTAGCTCCTTGAGAGACCACAGAACTACAAAAAAAGCTTTCCTCTTTCGTTGCAATACTTTTGTCCTTAACCAGTTCCTGGAACTAAACTTGTCTAATTAGAGGCTTGTGGAAGCCCTGGGTACACATTTTTGTAATAACCGCCGTGTATGCTGATAATTTTGTATAGCTTGTTACATTAAATAAGAATGACAGTGGCATGTAAATGATGTGATTGCATTATACATCATTTACAATTGCCCAGATCTTAAAGAGAGGCATTTGTGGGGGACCAGCCCCTACTTTTACCTAGGTACTATTGAGGAGTGAGGGATAAGAGATTTAGATAGAAATACAGAGGGGAGAGAGAAAGACAGAAACACAGGATAGCCTCGGGAGGGCCCGGATCCTTATCCACTAGCCCAACACTTTATTCAAAAGGGGTTTTTATAACAATACCAATGGGCAAGGCAAAAGACCTCCTCCCCCTTGCTAGATGCAGCCAAGTGCAGACCCTTCCAAACCCCTGGTACCCAGGCCGGTGATCCAATGCATCCTCTTATGCAGTCCTGCTGGGTAAAGCAAGCTCAGATCTCACTAGGAAACCTCGGTGGGCTCCCACAGGCATTCTATCAGACAACACTGGATTAGGGGTAGGGTAGGAATAAGAACTTTAAATGTCATTTGGTCAAATAACTCTCTAGCCTTTGGCCTGAAGGGCCAACTGAGGGCCAGTGTCAGGGCCTCCTGAGGCAAAGTTGTTACACGCTAAGGACAGGGTCCTAACCACCAACTGCGTAACGATCAGCTGAGTGTTTGCCACTGGAAAACTACTGAGACTGGTGAGTTTTCCTCTTTCAGTCCATCTCCTTGGCAAACGCTTCTCGTTTTGATTTTTTCCTGGTCAATTAATAACCACTGAGGTCGTTTACCCCAATCCTACTCTCTGACCTTTACTTTTTGAATAACATTTTCCTGGATTAGAAAAAAGAGGGAGAAAACAGTGTGATGTAGCAGATAGTGTTAAAAGCAATGTATTTTCATAGCGTCAGTAGAGTACTGTTACATGATATTAGTAGATAAGGGTAAGAATTATCATCAGTTAGAAAACCACTGTATTATTAAACTAACCCTATAACTAACCCCAACCCTAACCCTCTAACCCTAACCCTAACCCTCTAACCCTAACCCTAACCCTAAACCTCTAACCCGAACCATAACCCTCTAACCCTAACCCTCTAACCCTAACACTAACCCTCTAACCCTAAACCTCTAACCCTAACCCTAACCCTCTAACCCCAACCCTAACCCTCTAACCCTAACCCTAACCCTCTAACCCTAACCCTCTAACCCTAACCCTAACCCTCTAACCCTAACCCTAACCCTCTAACCCTAACCCTAACCCTCTAACCCTAACCCTAACCCTAACCCTCTAACCCCAACCCTAACCCTCTAACATCTAACCCTAACCCTCTAACTCTAACCCTAACCCTCTAACAGCCAGCAGTTTCTGTTGTTTTGGTAAAACACCGTGATTAAGAAAACTTACAGAAGAAACAGTTGATTTGAGCTTTCAGTTCCAGAGGATGAGAGCTCATCCTGGGAGGGATGAGGAGATGATTGTTTGGTGACTAGTGCAGCAACATGCTAAACCGGGAGCATGAAGCGGGAGAACGCCCTGGAGACATACTTCCTCTGCGGCCACACCTCCTAAGCCCATCTAAACTGCTGCCAACGAGGGACCAAGCATTCAAATGGTCAAGACTGTGGGGGCATGCTCTCTCATACACCCCAGCTATAAAGCAGCAAATAACCCTTTGGGGGTCATTTTTTTTCCCTAATTTTCTTGATGATGCAAGATTTGTTTTCTGAACTCTGAGATTAAAGGCAGGTCAAAATGATCCTGGAATTTTTAGATCTTTTGCTTAGAGAAGAAAACCCACTTCCTCCCCATTTCTCCTCCCCGACTCATAGGTCCTACTTATTTGGATAGTTCTTTATGGTGTGGGAATGTTATATTGGTACAGGTGGTGCATACTGACATACGTATTTTGTTGGTGCTTATGGTAACATATTTCATTTCATATGTTGTCTGATTCTTTTATGTATTTGTCTGTAGGAGATTACAGGCTTGTGGGACCATGTCCAGATGCTAGTTAAAAATGATCTTCTAATGGAAGGAAGCAGTGCTAGGTTTGGTCAGAAAAAAAACAAAGTTTCAGCACCAGTTTATTATTTGTATTACTTATACATTTATGACCATGTTTTCTCATTTATAAAATCAAAATTCTCAGCCGGGCGGTGGTGGCGGTGGTGCATACCTTTGATCCCAGTATTCGGGAGGCAGAGCCAGGCAGATCTCTGTGAGTTCGAGGCCAGCCTGGTCTACAGAGAAAGATCCAGGCAGGCACCAAAACTACACAGAGAAACCCTGTCTCAAACTCCCATCCCCAAAAAAGTCAAAATTCTCAGAGCATATAGTAAGACTCAAATGCCCATGGTCCTAGCACTTTAAGAGGTTGAGTCAGGAAGAATTTTAGGAACTCTAGGTCAGCTTGGGTTATACAATGAGATCCTATCTCAACCAAAACAAAATAAAACACCCCCCCCAAAACAAACAACAACAACAAACCACAACATAAAAATAATCAAAATATGTGGAAACACCTGTGATAGAATGGGTATGGAGCCATTTCTTCATCCCTCTACCATACCCTACAGTGCTACATAAAGATCTTCTTATGTCAGGAATGCTCAACAGAAATGAAAATGACCCTCATGTCTATAAGCAGTTGAGAAGACCTAGACAACTGGTTACACAGAGTTGAGATTACTAGAATGTTGAATGTTTATCATCTCCATTAAATTTTACTGTATGGCCACCCTGGTAACTTGAGTCCTCCAAAAGATAAACAATGTCAGTGTAGCTTTCTGCCTTTAGAAAACATGGTGGTGACCCACAGGCTCCTCCTGTCCTGTGCCGGGACCTCTATTTTACTGAGAGTTGCTACTTAGGAAAATCATGAAGATGTTCATCTTGCAGCAACTTCTGCATGACTCCCTCTCTCTGTGACTCCCACTGTTCCCCACCCCATGCAGCCTCACCGCTCAAAGCAACGCTGCTGTGAAACACTGGACTCACACACTTGATTGATGTCCATTCCATCCATGGTTTGTGGTATGTTCTAGCCATGAAGTGATGTCTTGTGAGATGTTACCGTGACTGTGAGCAGGAACCCATCTCCCAGCTCTCATGAAAGGCTGATTTCCAACTCCGTCCTTTTCAGTCAACACGCCGTTTGTTCTCTTCCCAGTGAGTCCCATTTTTTTTTTAAACATTTCACTGTTTCCACCCCTCTGATCTAGTTACCCCACTCTGAAGCAACTTTCCCAGAAACGACCAGACATTCCCATTTATGTTGGTGACACAGAAAGGCCCGTGTTTTGGAATCTGGACCAGAGCGGTGTCCGGTTAACTAACATCAATGTGGTACCGTTTGGACTGTGGCAACAGGTTAGCAATCTGTTTTATTATGCTTTCTGAGGTGATATTTAAATGTATAGAAAGTGGCCTATATTATCTGTACATGGGCACATAGTAAACAAAACCTGTATTTAAGATTCAATTTTGGACATAACTGCCTTTGCTAAAAGATTTCCATTCCACTTTAGCAAATGTGTATAACCTTATAAAACAGGCTGGTAAATCCAGTTCCAGGTAAAGTGGTTTTTTTTTTTCCTTTAAATATTGGTCTGATTTGCCAATCTTTCCAAATGACAACCTTCTCAAACATTGAATTAAGGCTTAACTGACTTACATAATTGTTTTGTTGCCAATTACAGGTAGATAAAAATCTCCGGTTCATGATCCTGATGGATGGCGTTCATCCTGAGATGGACACATGCATTATTGTGGAGTACAAAGGTACTTTTCTATCCTCGTAAGCACTGACAAGTGAGAGGTGCCAGGTAGGAAAGAGGACGGCTGCTGTTGAAGTCTTACCCTGTGCTCATCTGCTGCTGCCATTTAGGAGAACACAGTATACTATGCTTCCGTCTTAGGAAAATGAACCCTTTAGATCTCTCTCTCTCTCTCTTTTTTTTCCCCCAAATGAAAAGTTGTCAGTGTTTATGAGTCTGTCGTGACAGATACATAGCTTTTAGCACAAGGGAACCAATATTTATATTGTTTCAATGCTATCGTTAATCTATTGTTGAATACATGGCATGAGTCCCTTTCATCGTATTGCTGGGAATTGGTGGTACACACCTGTGACCCCAGCAGTCAGGAGGTAGACAGAAGCAGGAAGAACAGGAATTCAGGGCCATCCTGTGAGAAACAGTTCAGGTCAGCCTGGGCTCTACAAGACCATGTCTCAAAGAGCAAAGCAAAGCAGGACAGAGCAAAACAAACAAAATGAGAGAACACAACACACTATCACTAGAAAATGTCATCACGAGTGAGGCGAAATCATTTGGAACATAATTGTACACAGAATTTGCCAGAGATAAGGGTATCTGTGTTGACTTGGGTCCGTAGCTTCAACATCTGGAGACAGTTAGGGGAGTACTCTATGATCCACAATAAAATTAAGCTGATGATTCCTGGAGCACCCAGAACTCATCCAGCCAGAGGGATAAACTACTTGACTTAGAAATCGGAATATTGTAAAACTTTAGACTCTGACAGCTTCCTCTTTGTTTTTTGAGTTTTTGTTGCTGTTGTTTGTTTGGGTTGGGGGGGGCGTGCATAACAATTCTTCTATAATCAACTGAACCAGATTGCACAGGAAAACCTTGTTGGCTTGGTCATTCCACCCAGAGTGCTTGAGGCTTCATGTTGTTTCCCACAGGTCATAAAATCCTCAACACAGTGGACTGCACCAGACCCAATGGGGGAAGGCTGCCTGAGAAAGTTGCTCTAATGATGAGCGATTTTGCTGGGGGCGCATCAGGCTTTCCAATGACTTTCAGTGGTGGAAAATTTACCGGTAATAATTTATATCCTAGTTTTACTGAGCATCAGGCATGGTGCTTGGATGGATGCTGTGAAAATAAGTACAGGGATAATTGGCGTATGGTTCCTGCTCAAAGGAACATGCACTCAATTAGAAAGCCAGACTTACGAACTACAGACACGACACACTGTGGTTGCCAGTTTAGAAAGGATGGTAGAGTGTGCAGGGAACACTGATATGAAGGAGCGCCTGGGGGAGGGAGAATCTAAGAGGAGCCAAGAAAGACAGTCACTGAGTATCACAGGGTGGGGCACAGTGAGGAACCAGGAAGGATGGAATGGATAACTCTGCCCTCAGTGATCTTAGGACAAGGTCAAGAATATTGGGCATAGGACTTGGTGTGGCTACTTCCTAATGGTCCTGTGGAGGGCTCGTGGGTGGCACAGCCAAGGAGGAGATTCTACAGTATAGATTCCCACCCTGGAAGCCTTCCTCTGGATCCAAGGGCAGTGCTGGGCTTTATACGAGGAAAGCGTGTATATGAGATGGCTCATTCGGTTTTATATCCTGTTAAGTACTGATAGCTTTACCGTGTTTGGTAAATGAGCCTTATGGTACAATGCTGCCCAAGCACCCCACCCAGAGGAGGGAGCTGGCACTCTCAGCTAGTCTATTCTTCCCTCTGTGCACTTGGCTGTGTCCATTGCTTCCCAAGGTGTGCAGCCGCCCGAGAAAGAGGGGACATTTGGTCTGTAAGAGTTGAAGTGTACTGAAAGGCAAATACATAATTATGGAAGATCAACTAGCATAATCCTGTGTGCATGAGTGCGTGCGTGCGTGCGTGCGTGCGTGCGTGCGTGCGTGTGTGTGTGTGTGTGTGTGTGTGTGTGTGTATAATACAAATACATGCATATGCACTTTTAAAGGTCTTGTATCTAAGTAGCATAATCCCATGTATGTATGTGTAATGCAAACAGATGCATACGCATTTTTAAAAGTCTGGTATATAAAAGATACTGATAGTGATTATGTCAAGTTGTGTGTAATGTTTATTTTTTCTATGTCCTTATCTCTATCAGATTTCAATTTCAAGAGTTCTAGAACCACCTCTCTTATTCTGTGTGTCACTACTCCAGGTCCTGTTTAATCCTAGACTTCTCGGACCAGTGGCCTCCCAATGTGCTCAGTGTCCTCAGGCTAGCACTCCTGGCCTAGCCCTGGCCTAGCTGGTTCTGTTGACTATTTTCACTCCCTGGGGGCTTCTTGCTGCTAAACTGCACACGACTAGCAATTTCCCATGTGTCACAATTCACCTACTGTCTGCCCCCTGACTGCCCTGTCCAAGGGTGACCATGCCACCCCACCTCAGTGCAGACACTCCCTGACTGCCCTGTCCAAGGGTGACCATGCCACCCCACCTCAGTGCAGACACTCCCTGACTGCCCTGTCTAAGGGTGACCATGCCACCCCACCTCAGTGCAGACACTCCCCACCTTACTGCCTTGCTGTACTATTCACATCATCACTTTATATAATTACTTTATTTCCCTTTTAAAAACTGACTTCTCTCACTAGGAAAATGATTCCTTGGGAGTACTTTCCATTTCTTGTTCATAACATTTACAACCTTCTTCAGTACTGTATGCTTAGTACCCCAGAGCACCTCCGGAGCACAGAAGGTGTGTCATAAACACTGGGAGCAAGGGAAAGAATGAAAGAGGGTGGGGGACTTTGTGAGGTGTTTATAACGAGTCCATTGACAGAGGAGGGGACAGAAGTTAGGCCACATACTCAATTCTGTCGTGGTGGGCTGGGCTTTGATCCTAAGTATGACTAACAAGCATACTGGTGATCTTAGTCACTGTGAATTGTCAGTTACAAAATAGATTTCAGTTTTAAAATGGACCAGGGCAATAGTCACGTACACACTAGTAGAAGGTTAACCATTACAGTGTATATAGAATGGGCTTGTCTACAAAGTAGGGCTGTACACACTGACCCCTGATTAAACTGGAGTCTCCAAAAATAGAACAAACAAGAAGCAAGCTTGGGACCCGTGGCTGATCTCCTGGTAAATAATCAAACTCTGCTAAATCAAGCTGAGGATAATCTCCACCAGTATCACAGGGATTAATTCTACTTCTGTCTTAGTTGTCCCTCCATTTTTTTTCTCCTGAGCAAGTTCCTGTCCAGTAGAGCAAGATTCATTAAACTTTTCCGTTTGTGATCGCTTGGCACCAGAGAAATTTTTATGCAGCCCTGAGCATATCGGTCTATAAAATCAGTAAATAAGTCAAGTATTTGCTGATAATAAGCTATAAACAAATTTATTTTAAAACAATTCTTTTCTACACATATAATTTAGTATTAATTAAAGATAAAGCAAATTTTTATGCTTCAAAATGGTTGTACTTACTTATTTATATAAAGAATTAATCTTGGCTAAATATTTGATACAGTAGGATGTGAGGTATCTCCAGCAGTTTTCAAAGTTGATTGATAGTTTGATTTTATGATCAATTCTGAGAATCCCATTCACATAAATATGTATTACCGTACAGCAGAATTATGTTTAGGACTATTTCATAAGCTTTTGGAAATTCCATCCTGATCTCAAGTCAAAATTCATTGAAGTATTAAATTTTGTGAAACCCAAGTCAACAACTCAAACAGCAATTTTAAAAAATCAAGCATCCTAGCACAGTATAATCCAAAGATACACTAATTTGATACATTCTTAGGGAGGATGCTAAGAAAATATGAAAAGTCTTTGTTTTCCACACTTAACCCATTCTGTTTCTAGAAGAACAGGAAGGGTGGTGTGTGCAGTAAAAACACACAGTTCACAGCATACGGTGGTTTTGAATGTGAGCCAAGGCACACATAGTTGATTGTGTTGTGTTGTGTGACGACACGCCCATCTGTTGTGTGCTCAGCACCAGGGCTTCGGTGACATTGCTTGATGAGCGGTGAGGTCACAAGGCACCGCAGTGAGCAGCACCATTTTCTGTTTTATTTTGAATAAAGTTTTCTTGAATTCTCAGAAAACTTATAGCTGTTTATTTTCTTGTGACCTCCGCATTTAGTTAATACACCCCCATGTTGGGTCACAACCTAGTTTGAGAAGCTGGGAACTAGGGCATTCACTTTCAAAGGCTTCTGAACAGAGAACACTAACCCTACCCATGTCGTTTCAGAGGAGTGGAAAGCCCAGTTCATTAAGGCGGAGAGAAGAAAGCTTCTGAATTACAAAGCTCAGCTGGTGAAGGACCTACAGCCTCGAATCTACTGCCCCTTTGCTGGGTACTTTGTGGAATCTCACCCATCTGACAAGTAGGCCCTGCATTTCACTATTTTACACTCAGTGCCTGTCAGAATGAGTGACTTTGCTACAAGTGCATTGTGTAAAAAATGATTGGGAGAATCCCAAACATCTCCATATGTTTGTGTGTGTGTGTGTGTGTGTGTGTGTGTGTAGGGGTGTGTGCATGTGCGAGTTGGTTGTCTGTTCCTCTGGTAACATCCACCTTTTTTTGAGACAAGACCTTTCACTAGTCTGGACCTTGAAAGAAGACTAGGCTAGCTGGCCAGTGAGCACCAGGGACCTGCCCATCTCTGTCCACCCAGTCCTGGGATTACAAGTGTGTGCCACTGAGTCTGGCTTTTTTCACAAGTTCTGAGGATCAACTTACACTTGCAAGGTCCTCACCCTTGCAAGGCAAGTGCCTTACTGACCTAGTTCTCCAATCCAATAGTTTACAGCTTTCTAACTAGTTGCCAACAGATGAACCAAAGCCACCAGAGTTGGTGCAGATAGACACTGAAAGATCCTTCGGGAAGGCAGGAGACAAACAACAGTTATTAAGCATGTGGCAGGAAGTGAACGGGGGTGGGAGAGAGAATATCCAAAAATGTGAAATATGCAAAACAGGGTATACAAATCCACTAATTTTTTTTTAATTGACTGAGTGCCTGGGGAGCTGGCTCAGTTGGTCAAACGCTTGCTATCCATTCTTAATTCTTAGAACCCGAGTGTGGCTTTCCAGCACCCATTTGAAAAAGCAGGTGTGGCGGTGCCTGGCTGTAATTCCAGTGCTAGAGAGGAGGGAGCAGGAAGGACCCCTGGGGCTCAGAGGTCAGTCAGTGTAGCAGAATCATCAAAAGACAGTGTCGTAAAAGATAAGATGGAGGGCTGGAGAGATGGCTCAGTGGTTAAGAGCACCGACTGCTCTTCCAAAGGTCCTGAGTTCAATTCCCAGCAACCACGTGGTGGCCACAACCACCTGTAACGAGGTCTGGTGCCCTCTTCTGGCTTGCAGGGACACAGGCAGGCAGAACATTGTATACATAATAAATAAATCTAAAAAAAAAAAAAAAAAAGATAAGATGGAGAATTGTTTTGGAAGACATCCAATATTGACTTCTACACAACACATCTCACACATTTGTACCCCCCACACACATGCGCACAGATATAAATACATATTACACACAAAATGACAGAAAATTACATGCATTTATCATATAACAGTGTTAGAGATGTTCATAGCTAGTGGAATAACAAAACCTAGGTAATTACATAATACATCATGATCTTACCATCTTGTGGCAAGGACACAATATTTTAGTAGAGACTGTGGTAAAGTCAAATCCTAACTATTGTAGTACTTCCAATGCTTGGTCATTCTTGATAAGGAAACCATGATAGGTGCTAAGGTGTTTTGATAATTTCTATAAACATGAACATTTTGACTTTAGCAGAATTGCATTCTCTTCTGTCTTAGTTACTTTTCTGTTGCTGTGATGGAACACCACGACCAAGGCAACTTATAAAGGGAAGCATTTAATTGGGCGTATGGTTTCAGAGGGTTAGACTGTGTGGTTTGAAAGAAAATGGCCTCCACAGCGAGCGAGCAGCACTATTGGGAGGTGTGGCTTTGTTGGAGTAGGTGTGGCTTTGGTGGAGTGGGTGTGGCCTTGTTGGAGTAGGAAGTGTGTCACTGTGGGGGTGGGCAGTGTAGTATAGTGGGAAGAGCTGACAGTTCGAATTTTTCACTGCTTACAGTTTGGAAATATGCTCTACTAACAGGGGAACCCAAGGCTGACTGACATCACCCTGAACCCCAAATGTCTGTGGACAGGACACAATAGGAATGATATCCAAGTGTTACTGTTACGGTTATTTTCTTGAGACAAGAACTTCCTATGTAGTTTAAGCTTGCTTCAAACTTGCTATCCCCCTGCCTCAAACTCCCCAGTATTGAGGTTATAAACTTGTATTACCATACCCAACTTTAAAAGTTATTTTGGGAAGTCTAGATAATTAATAGACACGAAGTCTTCACATAATATCAGGAATATGGAAGGTTCCCAGGAAGTAGGTTTTTCTTTTCTCTCTTCCTTTCCTCTCTTGACTCTACCATAGTTTAGGAAAAGCAAATTTTCTGGGAAAAAAATTCTAAGATCAGGGAAATGACTGTGTATCACAGCTCAACGGTGGACTGCAGACATACCCGCTGCTACTTTGTACAGGGACAAGAAGGAGAAGCAGAGGCATTGCATCATATTCCCAAGGGAAACACAAGTCCAGAGCTCACACAGCGAAATGGCTCTGTCTGAAACCCCTGGGAAGAAGCCCCCTTCTTCTTCTTCTTCTTCTTCTTCTCCTTCTTCTTCTTCTTCTTCTTCTTCTTCTTCTTCTTCTTCTTCTTCTTCTTCTTCTTCTTCTCATTTCAAGAGCAGAGAGAGAATCCTGTGGCCCCTTCTTTTCTTAGCTCTCCTGGCTCCACCTCTCTTCTCTGTTTGCTTTTTTGAGACAGGGTCTGTCTGATGCAGTATCCCAGGCTGGTCCTGAGCTTGCAGTGACGCTTGCTTGCCTCAGCGTCCCAGGGACTCGTTATAGGAAGGAGCCACTGGACTTTGCCCCATTGGTGTTTTCTTTCCTAACACTTGGCTCCAGGAAGTAGATGGAATTCTCTGGAAAGTTCTCATCTAGTCAGGGAAAACAAAGCCCTGGCTTTTTAGTAGAAGTATCATTTGACATTGGCAGAGAACAGGACACTTGGGAGGCAGAAGTTATTGGGGACGTTGCAGGGAAAATACTTGTGAAAAAGAGCCAGAAGATTGAGTAAACCCTGGATCTCAGCCCCTGGCTGTGCTTTGCAAGCTGGAGACAAAGCCAGTAGAGGAAAGAGCACAGCTCAGGCCCCACACTGGTGACTTGGTGGTACACATGTGGTCTCATGCTGGTGACTTGGTGACCCACATGTTGAAGAGAGCTGAAAGGTCCACAAAAGCTTTGAAAGAGGAACTGAAATTGAAAGCACAGTGCTTTTGAACTTACAGTGTGAACATGACTTCCACAGATATAAATAACCCCAGATTTTCATAGAATAATTTTCAAAGGAGCAAGATATGATCCACAGCTACTTAATATGAGGAAAAAGAGGAAAATCTCACCAGGGCATGAGGGGAAGACAATAGATAATAGATCCCAAATGACACAGATGCTGGAATTATCACACAGAACAATTCAAACATCTATAAAAGCCATGTTTCAACACGTAATGGCAAAATCTCTTAACTGTAAAGACACACACAGAGAGAGAGAGAGACAGACAGACAGACAGACAGACAGACAGACAGACAGACAGACAGAAGATAGAAGAACTAAATGGCAAATGTACATGCAAACTATACAATCCACAGCAGCAAACACATGCGAGGATTTCAAGTACCTGATGGGGCTGGGAAAGGCAAGAGGAAGCAAATTTGAATGCAGGGCAAGAGAAGCCATCGAAGCTAAGAAACAGAAAGAAAAGATTGTGACAAACAAGAACAGCCCAGGAGAGCCACTGGACAGTGGCAAATGTCCACAAAGAAGGTAAAGATCACGGCCCACAAACGAGACCCAAATTGAGTGGTGGCCAGAACCAAATCTGATAAATGGCACAAACTTAGATCCCAGAAGCACAGTAAAGCCCCCAAACCAGTATGAACTTGAATCAAAAGAAGCCTGGACACTTCAAAACAAAACTACCAAAAATAAAGACACAGCAATATCAAATTACCTTGATTTTTTTGATAATAGAAAACAATTCAAATAGTTAGACTTCTAATCAGAAAGGTAGTAAGATTTTAAAATTTTGTTTGCAAAACAAACAAAAGAATCGCACCTAGATCTAGCAAATAGATTCTCAGGGCAGAGAGTAGAATTGACATTGGCAGATGAGAGAGCTGGGGCAGGTCACTGCCAGCAGACCTACTTTAGAAAAACTTAAGGGAACTTCTTCAGATTAAAGAAAAGCCATTCTGAGGGGAGAACGGAAATGTAAATATCTTGACATATTTAGTGGACTGTTTTTCTTTCATTGGGTTCTCTAATTTGAAAGCCAGAATACAGCACTGATGTAATTTTCAATATATAGAGATGTTATAGGTTAAATGGTATCTCTTCAAAATTCCCATGTTAAAGTGCTGAGCCCCAAAGACCCCAGAATAGGACTTGCTTGAAGATAGGGTCTGTACAAAGGTAATCCAGTTAAAATGAGTTCATGAGGGCAGACCTTAATCCAACTGATTGGTGTCCTCATAACCAGGCACAACTCGAGCGTAGAGACACATAAAAGGAAGATAATATGGCGAGATGAACATGAGATAGCTAAGGAGAGGCCATGGAGCATAGTCTGCTCCCAGCCTGCAGAAGGAAACTCTCCTGCTGCTGCACTGTGACTTTTGAATGTTCAGTGATAAGAGAAAAACATTCCCGTTTAACTTCTGTTCTTTAAGCATCACCAGTGTGGTACTTCGTTGCAGCAGTTCTGGCAAAGTGATTCAAATGGTGTGATGCATTCTAAGTAGATGTGAGAAGCTGGTTTAGACTATTATAACATTGTAACTCCCAGAGCAGCAAGTCTATAAGGGATGTAGTTAAAAAAAATTAACAGGCAGACTAAACAGAATACCAAAAGATGTGCAAATAACCTACCAGAAGCCAAAAAGGGAGGGAGGAGACAGAGGAACACAAATAAAATGACAGTCATGAATCAAGAAATATGGATAATTATATTAAATATGAATGATACAGATATGTAAACAAAACAACTTGGGATCTGCTAGAGAAGCCTTGCCACAAATTGAATTGCCCAGAGCAATGCTGGTCAGCACCCCAATCAAGCTACTTATGATTTCATGGTCCAAACAAAAGTAGAGATAGAATTAAATCATGGTTTTAAAAATAACAAAACTAGGCCGGGCGGTGGTGGCTCATGCCATTAATCCCAGCACTCGGGAGGCAGAGCCAGGCGGATCTCTGTGAGTTCGAGGCCAGCCTG